TTGAGTGCGCGGGCAAAGAGGGAGTAAAAGAAGGGGAGGAATCGGGCGCGATCCTCGCGGGGGGGCGCGCCGACATTGGCGTCGCGGCGCGCGGGCGATGCCGTCGGGGAGTCTTGGGGCTTGCGGCGGCCACGCCCAGCCCAGCTTCACGAGTACTCAGAGGCAATCATTCTCAAACTATTGACATTCATATACAATGACACCGTGCGTTGTCATTCTCGCATTCACGCACGTAAGCTCGCTCGCGCGCAGATTCGTTCACAGTGAGACGCACTCGCGCTCAGATTCACCCGCGCTCTGTCCCCCTGCGTGCTCAGATCAATCGTTTCCGTTCGCGTTGTGTACCACGCCATTCATTTCGGCACACCCCTAGCACGGTTCGTTGTCTCATAGGGATACCACCAGAAAAGTGAATCACAATTGCGGTACTCACACCTGCATATGGTTGGGTCCTTTCGTCAGGCTTATTTAAACATCCTATGTATTAAAAACTGCCCTGTAGGCTCGACGCGCGCCCCGGGGTTCTGGCGCGGACCATGCCCCCGAGGGAGGGCCCAGGGCATCTGCCGCCAGGGAGCAGCGGGAGCTGGAGGGGTAGAAGGGGGAATCGGAGAGGAAGGGAGAATCCTCGTCGATTCCTCCTCCTCCTCCTCCTCATCCTCCTCCTCTTCCTCCTCAGTGATGGTGGCGAGAGCGCGAGCGAGGAGAAGGGGAACCGGGGTAGAAGGGGGAGGGACGAAAGAGGAGGAATCGGAAAGGAAAGGAGCAGGCAGGGACGCCAATGACTGGCGGAAGATAAAGGGGTAAAGGGGGATGAGGTGAGGCGTAGAGTGTGCAGGGCTACCGGCCTTGTCACCGCGTGTGTCCTTGAGGCAACGGCCTCGCGACGGGGCAATCGTGCAGCATCTGGGGATGCACGAATCCTGGTCTTGCCGCCAGGGAGCGGCGGAATGAGGAGGGGGGATGAGGAGGGGGGATACGGGGGACACGTAAGAGTGTGTAGGACTAGCGGCCTTTCCGTCGGGCGCGCCTTTGAGGCAATTGCCTCGCGACGGGGGCCAGCGTGCAGGATCTGAGGATGCACGAAACTTGCCCCTGCCGCCAGGGAGTGGCGGAAAATGGAGGGGGAGGAGTCGCGACATTGGCGTGCGTCTGACCGCTGTTGAGACCGAGGTATCAGGGACCTCGAATGCTGGTGTCGCCCCAGCTGCCTAACCCCTGTGGCGTTGGACAGGTGCTCGTCGGGCGTGCGCGATGCGGCGCACGCCCTTACCAGCGCCCCATGCGTCCTGACCAACGTTCATTCCATGGGCTGCGGCAGCTTTCGGCATGGGGAGGAGGAGGAGGAGGAGGAGGAGGAGGAGAAGGAGGAGGAGGAGGAGGAGGAGGAGGAGGAGGAGGAGGACCACTTGTGCTGCCGGCGGCGGCGGCGGCGTGGGCAGGAGCCTCTGCGTGTTCGAGAAGACGGTGTTCAAGAGCCTGGTGTACCACCCCGACGAGTCGCAGCTGCTCACCACGGGCAGCGACCGCAAGATCGGGTACTGGGACGCCTTCGATGGCCAGGCCATCCGCGTGCTGGAGGGCTCCGACGAGGCCGGCGGCCCGCGCGGCGGTGGGAGCAAGCTTAAGCTTCGGGGGGGGGGCGACGCTCTGGAAACTTTCGGGGGGCCTTGGCTGACTCTCGGGGAGGTCCTCCCTCTTCCCTCCTCCCTCCTCCTCCCCTCCTCCTCATCCTCCCTCCTCCTCTCCACCTCCTCCTCCTCCTCCTCCTCCTCCTCCTCCTATCCTCCTCCTCCTCTCCTCCTCCTCCTCCCTCCTTCCTCCTCCTCCTCCGCCTCCTCCTCCTGCGCCCTCCTCCTCCTCCCTCGTCCTCCCTCCTCCTCCTCCTCCTCCTCCTCCGCCTCCTCCTCCTCCCTCGTCCTCCCTCCTCCTCCTCCTCCTCCTCCTCCTCTCCTCCTCCCGCCCCACGACGCTTCGTCAAGAGGGAGCTCCGGGGGTGCCCCCGCGGCTCGTCGCCTCGAGCGGCCGCCGGGGGGCCGAGCTGTGGCCGGAGGAGGCTCCCTCCGGGGCGGGCCCTCGCAGGGAGGCTCGAGAGGGCTGCCGGCCTTGCCAGGAGGCTCTCTGGGCCAGGGCCTCTCGGAGCCGGAGGGTGCCAGAAACCCAGACCCCCTCGAGTATAGTGAGAAAGTCATGGCGGGAGGTTTTTCCGAATTTTCGGCCTCCGGCGGCCCTCGCCAGGCCTCGGGGGCGTCAAAAAACGACCCAGGATGCAAAGCCGGTCATGGGGAACGGGTCGGGACCTCTGGGGGTCGACGCAATGAAAAAATCATTACGTCGGGGGTCTGGGAAGGGGGTCGTTGGGGGGAGGGGTCCCCCAGGGGGGGGGGGTTCTCCGGGAGAGGTTTTTGCGGGGGTGTTCCAGGAGGGGCCCCAGACACCCGACGTCTCGATTTTTTCGAGGCGCGGGCCCCCGACCTCCCGACCACTTCCCTGGGACCGGTTTATTTCATCCCGAGTCGTTTTTTGACGGTCCCGAGGCCCGGCGAGGGCCCCGAGAGGCCGAAAACTATGAAAGAACTCCGTCTCGACTTTTTTCGAGACGCCCGATGTGTGGGGGGGCTTCGCACCCCCTGTTTGGACGGGGCTCCGAGGCCCCCCCTGGGGGGCTCTGTGGAAAGCCCCCCTCTGGGAGCCCTCCGGCCGGGAGGCCCCGGGGCTTCCGAGGAACCCCGCCGCCCTCTGGGGATGCCCGCCCCTCTCTGCCCTCCCCCGAGGTCGGGCCTTAGGGGGCCACATGCGAACCCTACCCCTACCCCCCACAGAAATCATGGGGGGTAGGGGTAGGGTTCGCATGCGGCCCCCTGGGCCTGTCCCTCTGCAGGCGGAATTCCCAGAGATCCAGCGTGTTCAAAAAAATCCAAGACGGAGGTTTTTCGTACTTTTCGGCCTCGAGGGGCCCTCGCCGGGCCCCGGGACCGTCAAAGAACGACTCAGGATGAGAAACCGGTCCCGGGGAATGGGTCGAGGCTTCTGGTGACCCCGTATTGAAAAAAATCACCACGTCGGATCTCTGGGTTCCCCCCAAAAAACCAACCAAAAATATGCAGGGGACGATTTTTTGACTACCTTTAGTTGGGCTATTCTTGACTACTTTTGACTGTTTTTGATTTGTCGCCCGAGCTCCGTCTGTAGGGGCACATACCCGACAAAAGCCTTCCCCCTGGGCGCGCCGCCAACGAGGGAGAGCTTGGCACACTCTCCATCTCGAAGACTGGCTCGCACTTCGTGTCGGGCAGCGACGACCGCCTGTTGAAGCTGTGGGACTACGACGAGGGCGTGTGCAAGTACGTGGGCGTGGGCCACAGCGGCCAGATCACCTCTGCGGTGGCCGCTGAAGAAAAAGCTGCATCAAATCGGAGGCCTAGAGCTTGGCACCAACGCCCTTATCGGCGCTTGCTTCCGAGGGAGGGTACGGTGGAGGCGTTTGTGAAGGAATAGTCCCAGGAGGCGCCAGACCCTGGAGGATTCCTTCTCCAACGAGGGCGGCCGTGAGATCCGTGGCCGATCCACGATTGGAGTTCCACTGACTTCCAGACCCCCTGGATTCCTTATCCGAGGGCTCCTTACCCAATGCCCACACCGTAATCCTGATCTCGGCGGTGGTGGTAATGTCCGGGCGTCCCAGGTAGCCGAGAGACTACCACCACCTCCTCCTCCTCCTCCTCCTCCTCCTCCTCCTCCTCCTCCTCCTGCTCGTCTTCCTCCTCCTCCTCCTCCTCCTCCTCCTCCTCCTCCTCCTCCTCCTCCTCCTCCTCCTCCCCCCGGGTGGAGGGAGCCCCCTGCATTGGGTGTTGGTGCCACTTTCCATGCCCCCCGTGAAGATGGACTCTCGGAGATCCGCGCGGATTCTTTTTCTGGAGGGGAACAAAAGCACACCGACACAAGGAATCCTCCACTTCCGGGAACAGATGGGAACATGTGGGAAGTTTGGGGGGAAGACAGAAACCCAGGAAACATGGGAAAATATGGGGGAACCCTTTTACTTGTGTGTATCTATTTGCAAACAAAAAAACATGTTTTTGCAATCCTTTTTGTTGCAATCCTTTTTTGCAATCCTTTTTTTTGCAATCCTTTTTGTTGCAAGCCTTTTTTTGCAATCCTTCGTCCCAGGGCCCCTTCACTCCTTGGACCTGCGCCAGGCCCCCGGCGCGCCCCGCGCGCCGCGGGAGGAGGAGGGGGCCCAGCGCCGATTGCCGAGGAACATCCGCGCGGACCTCCCGACGGTCTGCGCCCCTGCAGCCTGCAGCGCCGCGGCTGGGAGGGGACACGGACGCCAGACATCGGGCGTCTCAAAGAAATCGAGGCGGAGGTCTTTCATAGTTTTCGGCCTCTCGGGGCCCTCGCCGGGCCTCGGGGCCGTCAGAAAACGACTCGGGATGAAAAACCGGTCCCAGGGGAGTGGTCGGGAGGTCGAGGGCCCGCGTCTCGAAAAAATCGAGACGTCGGATGTCTGGGAAACTATGTATTTTGCCCCCCTGGTTTTCCTCTTCCAGCCGCGGCTGCGGCTGCAGTTGTTTTTCGGTCTTCGAGGTGATCTCCCCGGACCAGACCTTCATCGTCTCCGCGGGTACCGAGGGCTCAATCTTCATCTGGACCATGCCCGAGGCTGTCCTTCTCCTCTTCCTCCTCCTCCTCCTCCTCCTCCTGCTTCTCCTCCTGCTCCTCCTCCTCCTGCTCCTCCTCCTCCTGCTCCTCCTTCTCCCTCCTCGTGCTCCCTCCTCCTCCTCCTCCTCCTCCTCCTCCTCCTCCTCCTCGGCCGTACGCACAGATCCGGGGCAGGAGTGAGCCTGGCCGGGGTAGGTGTAGGCGTATACTTGGCGTCGGCACGCTGGGCACTTCGTTTCTCAGCGCCCCCGTTTAGCTCTTCCGCGGGTGCAGCCAGTCTGCCTCGCCGCCCACGAAACAGTAGCTTGGCGAAGGACCCAACCATATGCAGGTGTGAGTGCAGCAGTAGTGAACATCTTCTTCGGCGGCGCTCCCTCTGGGGCCGCGAACCCTGTGAGGGGTGTGCCGAAATGGGTGCGGCGGACGCATGCGGACGGTGGCACTGGGGCCTTCGGTGGAGCTGCCTAGGGGGCCACGGAGCGTGTGAGGGGTGTACCGAAATCGGTGCGGGAGACGCATGTGGACGGTGGCACTGGGGCCTTCGGTGGAGCTCCCAATGCGGCCACGAAACGTGTGAGGGGGGTGCCGACATGGGCGTGGGGGACGCATGTGGACGGTGGCACTTGGGCCTTCGGGCTCCCTATGGTGCCACGGATCGTGTGAGGGGGGTGCCGACATGGGTGTGGGGGACGGATGCGGACGGTGGCATTTGGGCCTTCGGTGGTGCTCCCTATGGGGCCACGACACGCGTGAGGGGTGTGCCGTCATGGGTGTGGGGCGCGCGCATGTGGGCGCAGCCACTGGGGCCTTCGGTGGAGCTCCCTATGGGGCCACGAAACATGCGAGGGGTGCGCCGAAATTGGTGTGGGGGACGCGTGCGGGCGCAGCCACTGGGGCCTTCGGTGGAGCTCCCTATGGGGTCACGAAGCATGCGAGGGGTGTGCCGACATGGGTGTGGGGGACGCGTGCGGGCGGTGGCACTGGGGCCTTCGGTGGGGCCCCCTATGGGGCGCCGAGATGGGTGTGGTGACGGGAGGAGGGAGGAGGAGGGGGAGGAGGAACAAACAAAACGCGGGGACGGTCTTTTCAAAACGAGGACCCAACACCACATTATGGTTGGATCTAGATGTGTATAGATATATTGATATTGGGCGTCCTCCTGCTGCTGCTGCTGCTGCTGCTGCAGCCCCCCGCCGTGGTGGCGCGTATGCGCCACCCACGCACACGAAGCCAAGCGTCCACAGGGGCGCGCAGGCAGAGAAGAGCTGCACCGTGGCAGCTCCCCGGGCAGGGCGCCTGGGAAGGCGCCCCTGGGGAGGGCGCAGGGCCGCGGAGCAAACGGAGGAGCGCGAAGAGGATGGCCGATTCCGTCCGACAATCAACTTCGACGCATGCGTCACCACTTATTCCCAACCATCCTGTGGTGTTGGGTCCTCGCTTTGACGAGACGGTGGCCCGCGTCTCCTCCTCTCCTCCTCCTCCCCCTCCTGCGTGTGCCCGCATGCGTCCCGCACACCCATTTCGGCACACCCCTCACACGTTTCGTGGCCCCATAGGGAGCTCCACCGGAGGCCCCAGTGGGTGTGCCCGCATGCGTCCCGCACACCCATTTCGGCACACCCCTCACACGTTTCGTGGCCCCATAGGGAGCTCCACCGAAGGTCCCAGTGGGTGTGCCCGCATGCGTCCCGCACACCCATTTCGGCAAACCCTCACACGTTTCGTGGCCCCATAGGGAGCTCCACCGAAGGTCCCAGTGGGTGTGCCCGCATGCGTCCCGCACACCCATTTCGCACACCCCTTTTCGGCACACCCCTCACACGTTTCGTGACCCTGGAAGGGTCCAGTGATGTGCCCGCATGCGTCCCGCACACCCATTTCGGCACACCCCTCACACGTTTCGTGGCCCCATAGGGAGCTCCACCGAAGGTCCCAGTGGGTGTGCCCGCATGCGTCCCGCACACCCATTTCGGCACACCCCTCACACGTTTCGTGGCCCCATAGGGAGCTCCACCGAAGGTCCCAGTGGGTGTGCCCGCATGCGTCCCGCACACCCATTTCGGCACACCCCTCACACGTTTCGTGGCCCTATAGGGAGCTCCACCGAAGGTCCCAGTGGGTGTGCCCGCATGCGTCCCGCACACCCATTTCGGCACACCCCTCACACGTTTCGTGGCCCTATGGGGAGCTCCACCGAAGGTCCCCGTGGCGCAGTCCGCATGCGTCTCCCTCACCCAGTACAGCGTTTCGTGGCCCCATCGGGAGCTCCACCGAAGGTCCCCGTGGCGCATTCCGCATGCGTCTCCCTCACCCAGTACAGCGTTTCGTGGCCCCACAGGGAGCTCCACCGAAGGTCCCCGCAGACGACCCGCGCGCGTCGCTGGGACCCTCTCGGGGCGACCAGCGCGCGTCGCAGGAGCTCCGTGCTGCGTTCTGCCCAGCGCCTCGCCCGCCCGTCGTCGCTCTGCCCAGCGGCAAGAGCCTTGCCCGCTATCAGCCAGCCAGCTAGCTCTCTCTGCTCCGCGCAGCGGACGACCCGCGCGCGTCGCTGGGGACCCTCCGGGGCGACCAGCGCGCGTCGCGGGGACTAGCCAGCTAGCTCTCTTTGCTCCGCGCAGCGGACGACCCGCGCGCGTCGCTGGGACCCCTCCGGGGCGACCAGCGCGCGTCGCGGGGACTCCGCGCTGCGCTGCGCCCGCAGCCTTGGACTTTTGAGTGCGCGGGCCAAGAGGGAGTAAAAGAAGGGGGGAAGAGGGCGCGATCCTCGCGGGGGGGCGCGCCGACATTGGCGTCGCAGCGCGCGGGCGATGTCGGGGAGTCCCGGGGAAGCTCCTTGCGGCGGCCACGCCCAGCGTCACGAGTACTCAGAGGCAGTCATTCTCAAACTATTGACATTCATATACAAGTACACCATGCTTTGTCATATTCGAATTCATGCACGTAGACTCGCTCGCACGCAGATTCAGTCACAGTCAGACGCACTCGCGCTCATATTCACCCGCGCTCAGTCTCCCTACGTACTCAGATCAATCGTTCTCGTTCGCGTTGTGTACCACGCCATTCATGTCGGCACACCCCTAGCACGGTTCCTTGCCTCATAGGGATCACCACCGACAAAGTGAATCACAATTGCGGTACTCACGCCTGCATATGGTTGGGTCCTCCGTCAGGCTGTTCTTTTGTTTGTTTAAACATGTGCTTCGTTACAGGCGGCCGCGTTCTGGCGGCGTGGGTCGGCATTGTTGCAATTGACCCATCGGCTGGGCATAGCTGGTGTTCGCCGAACCAAAAACATGCGTCGCCATTCGACACTTTGAACTCAAAATTCGTTTTTTGAATTCGAAGACCAGACTCGTTTGTGAATCCACAGAAACCACTCGAATCCGCTCCCGGGCACCGCCTGCGCGTGGCCCCCGCGGAGCGCGCCCGACCGGGGCACCGCGGCCTCCGCCGCTGCGGGAGGCCGCCCAGGTCGGACCTCGGCCCGCCACGGGGGCGAGCGAAGCCCAATCTGGTGTCAGGTCGGGCCTGTCCCCCATGCAGGGGGATTGGGGGCGAAGAATCGACAGTACCCAAAACATATACCAACAATACCCAAACATTGACAAAACATTGTCCCCTGATTTTTTGAATCAAAAGCTGGTGCGG